TGCTTTTATTTCTAATTATGTCAGTTTCGGTCCTCCATACTGCAAGAAGCCTAATAATCATCCATTCATTCAAACCAGGTGTGTTGGAGCAGAGAAGCAAGTAAAACACGCAGGGCTGCGGCCCTCCAGGACCAGGACTGCCCACCCCTGGTTTAGATGCTTGCATGTGCTAACCTTATCAGAATCTAGTTGTCTAGACCAGTGTTTCSCAAAGTTGGGGTCRGGACCCAAAGTGGGGTCTTGAAACATCAAGGTGGGGTCCTGAAAAGATTTTCTGAATTAATTACATTTTGCCTTAGTTGTTACAAAGGAGTGAGGTTAGTATATTTAAAATGGATAAATGCAGTATAAAAATATTGTTACTATGACCATGTTTAGTTGACCTGATACAAATGTTTATCATACAAAAACAGTTGGGGGCACAGGTCTCTGCTACTGTTATTTTGTGGGTCAAAAGCTGAAAAGTTCCCAAAGTTGGGCTTGGGACCCAATTCTGGGTCATGAAGCACCTTGGATAATCTCCAGAAATCAATTTAAAGGGTAATAAAATAATTGCAGATGTAATATTTTCCCTATGACTATTGCAAAAACACAAAATACATATAAATAAGTATTTATATGTGTGTACAAGCTGTTTAGATTGTCAAAAAGCCTGTGTTTTTAGGGAAGTTAACAAAGTTTGTGTACTCAGACCAGTAATATTTGGGGTCACAAGTTTTTCCATGGATATTTTGTGGGTCAGAAGATAAAAAGTTTGGGAACCACTGGTCTAGACTGCAAGAATTACAAAAATGAAGTTCTTTTGAGAAACGAAAATCACGCTATTATTCTATACTAATTTGAAAATCTAAATAGACTGATTAACTTGATGACAGATGAGCCGTACTGTCCTGGGTCCATGAATTTTACCTTAACATTTGGTCATATGACCAAGGACTTCCTATCTTTTAAATACAATTTTATAAAACTACATACTTTTATTTTTTTTTTAAAGTTCTTTTAAAAAACAGATTAGTTTAGAAACCTGTTGTCTTATAAAATGGACAGCACCTCCCTTGAACAAATCTTTATTTTATCCATCAGTTACCTGCCTCATCCTTTAACATACTTACTTTTATAGCCTTGATTCCTGACTTGGTGATCTGAGTCATCTTGGCCTTGGAGATGGGCGGTTTGTACTCAGTCAACGAGTACAGCTGAAAAATGAAACAAGGCATCAGATATCATGTTTTGCTATGCAATAATACCCTTATTAATTAAATAATTTTTGGTCATCACAACTTTGTGGCTAAGTAATCAGCATAACAATGTTCAAAGCATCATCTGCTTTTCCAGATTTTGATAATAAAACATGATTTTTTAGTTTGTCAGAGAGCAAATGTTCAGTAGCTTGGCCTTTAATGTAGGGGTTATCCTTACTTTATTTACTAAGAATGACTAACCTAATAGTTACTTTCGTGTACGAAATACAGTACTATATTAATTAGATACATATCGAAGTCCGCATCTGTACGGACTGTGCAACGTGATARTTAATAATTCAGTGTCTTTACAGAAAAATGAATGCAGCGCTACTGTGAACCATTTGATATCCAGCTATTAACGTAGCATTTTTAATACCCTTGAATATTTATTTACCAAACAATACAATATTAAGCAGACCCATACACAACCACAAAATGTAAGATTATTTAAAGCAAACGGAGTGAGGAATATTAGCCTCTTTTTTATTAGTTAGCTCCATCACGTAAAAAGGGTTTCGCTAGCCTGAAGCTAACTTTTCCTCGCTTAAAATACTCGTATTATAGTATTTTTTTTGTTTTTTATTTTAACTCGAACAACGTGTATATAAGGAACCATATTCTTCTATCATCGGTACTTTGGACGATGCATTATCAAAAATTGCACGGTAAACAACGTTTGTATGCGCGGCCTGTGTGCAACTGGCCTTCTTTAACGCTTTGCTACAACCATGCTAGCATTGGCTAACTAGCCCGAKCCAGTTAGATAACATATCGTCGAGCTATTCCACATTTTTCACGGCTTTTSGACCAACCTCGTTGTTAAAGGCTTTGACGGCCTCCATGGTGTTATWATTCAGCTCGCAGATCACAGTAAAAATTCTCTGATAATCTCCTCAATAACCGGTAAAGACATGCATGCTCGACGTTTGGCGAGATGGAGGAGACTGGCAATATGGCGCTTAACCTCAATWGGGAATTTGCAGAAACGGGCGACACCTAGCGACAGCTTTGGTGCACTGCAGATACCCCTACTTGGAAGGAAAGAGAATGCTGGCAAAATAAAATGGCTGTGGAAAATTTAGATATTACATTAAATTTTACATTAAAAATAAATAAATAAATAAATAAATAAATAAATAAATAAATAAATAAATAAATGTATAAGAGTACATAAAGGAAAGGAGCTAAGTTTACGATTGACACGATCCTGAATTACCATCAGAATCCTCAAATTGTTATGAAGTCATTATAACTGATGCATAATATCACTTTTTTGCTATTATGTGATAAGATGATACTACAGAACAAATATTTTACCAATAGCAATTATAAGCAGCTTCATTATGCATCATTAATGAAGTGCCAACTCCTGAAACTGTGCCTGCAGCCAACCTACTTCACATATGGGGGGTAATATTATAGACAGAAACAATGGTCGGGCCAGCCATTGGGTCAAAAGRAGGACTACGAACAAAGGCCATTGGTCATTCTGTTTATTGTGGGAGTTTTAGAGAAACTGAGATGTTTATTCCCTAAACATTAYGTCCAAGTGGCTTTCAAACCCCAAAACACATTACAGCAAAGACTGGTTCACCCCAAAAATCAGGTCTCACGGCACAAACAGAGCAATATTGCTGTTAAGTGCCAAGAGGACTATGACTATTTATACATCAGTGAAACAAAACATCCACTGTTCAAAGGGATGGCCCAACACAGAAGAGCTACATCATCAGGCCAGGACTCTGGTCACTCTTTCAGGGATGAAGACATTCTTATCCTTGCTAGAGAGGAACACTGGTTTGAAAGGGKAGTGAAGGAAACCATTTTGGTGAAGAGAAACAGCCTGTCGTCAAACAGGAGCGGAGGCCTCCGTGCCCAATTGTCCCCCTCTTACAATGCTGTTATTGTATGAGTCAGTCCTCTGTGAACAATAGGGATGATCAGGGCTCTAACGATCAGTTGTTAGGCTGATGGTCCTCTTCTGCATGCAAACAAGTTTCGATGGTCACAGATTCCCTTGTTTGTCCACCATGTGAAAATACTGCTTATAAGGCTAAGCTTAACTGTAACTCCTTAGACTGAAAAAATCTCTTGGAGAAGAGATGAAACGTTTCAACAAAGAGGAACCCGTTCATAGGATCTACTTTTTTTTTTTTTAGATTACACCTCTTCTTCAGTGGAACTTGGATATTATACTGTTCTTATGAAAGTCCAAAACCAAAAACACTTTAAAAAAAACCCTGACATTTCCACACATATATTTAGTAAAAACATAACTTCACCTACTTCAAAATCTTGACATAAAATTTCTAAAGTATTTATTGGTGAATTCTGACATGCACACAATATTGTGCACTGATACAAATAAGGCTTGAAGTCTATAATTCTCTGGTTTAAAGTTATGCCAGGCTTGTTTGCATGATCATGAGTTTTTCCAAAGTTACTTGTGCTAAAAACCACCAATACTGCCAAATATTGATCTAAGCTAAATATAGTTAAATAATTCTTTATCATCTGCAAAACATATTAAATTTATACTTTGATGTAAAAAAATGACATTATTTTTTATCACTTTATCTATATTAAGATTTTAAAAACAAACTACTGTACATCATAGTTACATAATGAAAAAAGATTCCTCTAAGTCTGAAATGATCAGGATTTCTTATTTATTTTGTTAGTACAAAGCGTAGTTTCAGTCTTGAAAAGGTTACTAATATGACATTATATCATGAAGTGTCCAAACAAATCCTTGCTGTGGGATTGTTGTGTAACAGACATTGATGGTGCATGGCACCAATAACTGGCAAACAACATCTTTAAAAAAACAAACAAGAATTTGTTCTCTACAGACAAATCCAAAGTAGATAAATTATACCTTAAAAAAACAGTGTTTCCATGCAGACCAGTTTCAAAATACTCCATTGTTTCACACAAAAAGGGATCATGCAGATGTTTTAAAAAATTACAACATAAAAACACTCACTTGTAAAATTAGCTAATTCTACAAGCTGAACAGTAAAAATAATACTAAATCTAGTTTTCTTATTAGCTGTTTCCATGTCCAAGCTGGAACTAAAAACACTTCATAGATCCAGTTATGTGTTGAAAGGCATTCGCTAATCCTCTACATGGAACTGAAGAGTCAACTCACTAAATCACAACAGTGTGTATGTCTCACATAAGATTCAATAACAAAGTCCTTAAAGTCCAAACTCAGTCTATAAACCTGTCTCTGACAAAGGAGCATCAACAGCCGGTTCTGCAGCCTCCACAGCCTCTGGCGCCTCCTCGTGGTCGTCTTTGACGCAAATTTCATGAATCAGGAGCGCATTCGCCTCCTTCCACTGCCTGAACCTGTCTGAGGTAAGCTCTGGGTTTGACAGCACCTGTTCTATTGCCTGCAAATCCGCTTCTTTTGACTGTACCAGGAAACAAAAGAARAAAAAAAAGAATTACACAACAGGTCGATGCAAATAGACTCTTAAGTGTTTAAGAACATCAAACAGTGGATGTACCTTTAATGTGCTATTGAGAGCCCTGATATGGTGCAGCTTATCGTTAACGGTCTGGTTTTTACAGCGTTTTACAAAGGAGGCCCTGAACTCCCTTTTTGTAGAGGGTTTACGGTCTCCTATTGGCGAGAGGCTGGCCTCTTTCAGATGAATATACAGCCTTTCCAACTCATCCGAGCCATTCCCACGATCAGCTGTAAACAGAAAAGATAAAAAGATGAGATTCACAACACAATTTAAAAAAAAAAAAGTAAAACCCAAGTTGATGTACAAAATGTGTACAGAAATTAAATGAATGTTTTCAGGAGCTCAAGGAAATTTTATTATTTTTGAACACAGAAGCAGTTCAAGCAGTAAATGCATCACCTTCTTTTGGAAGCCCTGAGACAGTTTTCTGTTTCTCTCCCTGTGCTGCAGGCGTCTCCTCGTCAGGCCGAGAGGAGCCCAGAGGAGCAGTGCTTTCCGACACTGCCCCCTTGTTCGCCTCCTGCCGTGGGGCTGCCTGCGAGTGAACCTGGACCGAGCACACCACCGCCGTTTCCGCGGCCGGCGGAGGCGCTTGCGACACCAGATCCAACCAGGACTGCCGCTGCTTGGTTAGCGAGGAGGCGGAGCTCTGCGACGTCATCGTACTGACGGGGGAGGAGAGCGAGTCGCTGGGAACGGCGGTGGAGTACGGAGGAGGAAGCGTACCCTGAAATAAAAAGCACCTTACACTTAGATACAATCCAGCATCACTTTTACATGGTTCATCAAGTAAATCCAACAATTTGACTCAACTAATGAATGAGAAATTAAACGTGTTTATCAGCAGACCTGATGTGTGCTGCCAGGTGGGTCCGACACGTTTACTGTGCCCCGCAGAGTCTGTTCAGAGTAAGGTGGAGGAGGGATCTCTATGCTTTCAGCTTCTTCATGATCACTGGCTTCACTGTAGCACTCTGAACAGCCGGGGGG